AATTCTGTGGGATCCAGAGGAAAAAGTTTTGGTATCAGAGAGGTGGCTGATCCCCTCTCTTTGTTTTGCTCTGGGATCATAGCGAACCACATATGCAAAGTCTTTTCAGTGTATTCTTTGTATTTGTTAATGCAATATGTCAATCCTACAGACTTGCTTATCAAGCACCTATTGCTTTCCATTCAACCTACCTAGTCTTACAGCTACAACACCAAGTTCCATCTCTTTTAACAGCCGAGCAAGACTTGTCTCAATAAAAGTGGTGCCCTGGCAATGAGAAAACACAGGAAAGCAGAAACAAAGACCAGTGCTCGGCAGCAGGTTATTGAACCAGGAAGCTTTATTTACATAGTAAAAGTAACAAGCAAATTCCTGAGACTGAGCTGCTCTAGTGCAATAAAGTCATTGAGCGGATACGAATCAGCAGTCTTCTCGACTGTCAGGTGAAAGAACAGCCTTCAGTGACATGAGATTTTGAACAAAGATTACACCTTCTACAGATCCAACTTTGTATACATGTAAATACGTTTGCATTTGTGCAATTAACACGGAGAGCAAAAGACTCTATGTTACTACAGTTCATAGTTTTCAGAAGGCTTTTTGGCCATCTTCTCTTGATTCTTAAACATCAAAAACAGAAACTTTGTAAAGCACTGCTACAACCCTAAAAATATCCTACGTAAGTTTGTTCTCCTGTTCATCCAGGATCTTTAAACAATGCACTTGAAACACAATTTTATTAGCCAAATAGGCTACACTATAATGTGAAAAATTACAATCTATTCTACAAATACTTCCTTTGTGTCTTTTTTCTCCCCATATGAAGATGTATTGCAATCTTTCATAGAACAAGTTCAAAGAGCCATACCTGCAAATACACAGCAAATTCCCTGTGAGTATGTTACCTGTGCTAATAAAAAGGACATTTTCTGTTAAAATAATTTTCAAAGAATTTTTAATGATGACATTTTATTGCTGTTGATATGTTGTTGTAGTCATTAAGTGTCCACAGTCCAGATTGATCCACATTCTGAACAAGACAATGCCTGTCTCCATGTTGACTACCTAGTAGATAAAACCATTATTTGTCCATTGATCATTTCAGCGCCAGATTCTTGCAGATGGCAGGAATTTGTTGCATGTATTATTCAAAGTGTCTATGTTGGATTGATGAAGTCCTAGAAATCTCACTGTAGGATCCATTGCTTTTTAGCTGGTGTAGTTGCATGTTTCCAATAAGTGATCTTGCTGAGCTTCCTTCACTTTCTGAAGAGCAATACAACTTCTGATTTTACAATCAACAGGATGTCCCCTGAATTTGAGGCACATACTATATATTTCAGATTTTTTAATTATTTTTAATATATATATGTGTATGTGTATATATATATATATATATATAAATAAATCCACAAATGTTTTTTACCTCTATGGAGAAAAAAATAAGAAGTAAGGCCTTATTAAACTGAAAATCAGTATGTAAATCATAAAAAACCAACAACAGCAACAGCAAAACCCCAACGAAATACCGCCGTGGCCTAAATGGTAGCTAACTGTGTGTTGTGTCTATGCTAATGTGCCCAGTATAAGGCCATTGCTCATTGTAAAAGCATCTTTAATAAGGCAAACAGGTTGTACTGCAATGTAAACTGTATGCTACTGCTAGGTCGAGTACAGTTGGGTAGTGGTCCATTTGGTCACTTTCCTACTGTATGTGTTTTAGCATGTCATAGGTAGCAGCCCTTTAAAAAAATAAAAGCCCTTATGAATTAAAAGTCCAAGATATGTATATGCTAGAGTGCATCTATAGCTCTAAACTAAAAAAAGTCCAAGTTTTCACAAGCTGGTATGGCAAGCGCTGGAGAGTTACAGATTCTAGGTGTGTCGGGGTGGTGGTCCGATGTACACCCGTAAGTCACCGTGTCCATGAACTGTCAGGATTAGGAATATGCACCTCTGTGGAGCTTGGGAGATCAGAAAAAGGGGGCTGCATCCTCTTGGTACAGAGTGTAAGCTCACCACTTGACAGAGAGGGAATAGGAACAGACTGGACTCTGTAGAAGTTGGGCTGTGTTGTCAGTCCAAAAACCAATTTGACAGCAAAGGAATAGGGAGTGTTTATAACTGTTCTGTTACTTCAACGTGGGTAGTTGATGCAAAGTGAATGACTTAGAGCTCTGCAGCCAAGAGAGTTTAGGAAGTATCCTTCATGGGGAAAAATATCAGTCATCTCACTTGAATAGGAAGACTCAAAATGATCACTGAAGCTAAATGATATAACGTGGCTGTAACATTCCTTGGAACGTAGGTAAAACAGACACCAAAACATCAACGAAACAGTCTCACATACAGTGAATCCTGGACGAAGACTAATCCTTACTAAGCAATCTTCTGATATCAGAGGCCAAACTTAATTATCTCCAAATGAAATGTGTATCAGCTGTTTCCACCTTTCTGAGATATATATATAAAGCTGGTGAGGCCATCACCATAGTCTGCCTTTTTCAGAGTGTGCAGTCAAAAGTGCACTCACCCAGGCTGGTATTATGCACATGTCAAGGTAGCCACTTCCTTGAATGCATGACTCAGTGGGTACACGACGGTTACCTTTACATGCTCATAACTCAGGCATGCAAACTTTTGATATTCACTTAAAATTGATGTGCCTAATAGATTTAGGCCAGAGGCATTTGCTTATTCAATGCACTGTACAAAAATCCCGTTTTCATGGAGCTGTATGATTCCGAGACATTAAAAATCAAAATAACCTCATCCCCCAAATTATTTGTTTGGCTTCCAATCTACACCAGCATCCAATCTGGAGAGACAGCTCAAATTAACACTGTTACAAACAAAAACCACTCTGTGCAATTTGACTGGATGCTTATAAAGCTATACAACTGAATGGGTTCCACCGTGATACTAGATGCTACGCATCTTGAACCACTGCAGAAAAAAGTGCTGTAACATAAGATGTGGTCAAAAAAAAATCAATCTATAGCATATAGTTCTTCTATAGGTAAAAAAAAACCGTGTCCTTGTAGACCTCTTAGCAAGTGAACAGCTTATTTTTTCAAGGTAAATGTGTATTGTACAAACATTATGTTCACTACTTTATCTTTGCAAGAAGAGGAAAAGCTTTCAGTGCTGCTACCTGAATTTTCAGCTTCTTGACAGCTTAATTCATCAAGTAATCATACTGCATTTTCTAGCAAATCACTTCACAGTAAGACAAGCCAAAAGAAAGCACAGGAAACCTGCCATTCTGAGCAGAACAAGGGAGAAGTCACCTCTGAATGTTTTGCATCTCTCTGGGTGAGGTTTGGCAAATCACAGCTTAAAAACTAATCTTAAGTGACCTTAAGGCAAGTTCCCACCCCATCTACTGCATGCACCTTAACAACAGGGACCACCATCAGCAGCAAGCCTAGACAGCAGTCTCTGGAAACCTGCAAGCACCCGCTGATGAAGATCAAGCTGTCTCTCAGGTGTGACAGAGCAAATGCTGCATCAGATACTTTGTGCTGGAGGGGTTCTGCAGGTCAGACCACAGTCACTTATTTCAGGCTAATGTAAATATATGTATATATTTAAATAAGCCTCGAGAATCCTCTAATTCCTATTTGTGTTGCCACAAACAGGACCTGTGACCAGTTATGAAAAATCACCACGCAGAAGTAGTAGCGGAAGAAAAGCAGGAAAAGATCTATCTAGAAGCGGAGCAGTAAACAGAGGGGCTGTGATGCATGAAATCTTTAACAGGCTTTCACATAAAAATTGCTGTCCAAAAGGAAGACAGCAACACAGCTGGACTCTCCCGACTGTAATTAAGTACTCTGAGGCTGAAACAAAACGAAAGGTGAAACCCCTTCCCCGTTTGTGTCACTGGGGGTTCTCCGTGTGGGACCAGGATACCGCCCTGAGTATCTGCATGACATGCCCAACAAGCATAATAGCTTTAATAAATGTAACCCCATCGCACGTAACAAGGAAAAAACAAGAGAATTTGAGCCTGTTGGGATTTTACTCCACACCTCAGGCTCTGATTTCCCTTATAACAGTTTTCTACTGACTTAATTATATTGACTACAATGGAGTTACTAAAATTTATCCCGGGGAGTGAGATCAGAATGCGGTCACCATTACAACTCAGGTTACCTGGCAAACACTGAGCCTTCTCTTCTGAAAGCCTTAGTTCACAAGCCCAATAGAAAGCAGGACTGTTTGTCCAGTGAGTCTGAAAGAGGGACTCGAAAGAAAGAACATTAAAGTTAAGTTAAGTAGCAATGTCCTTTGGAAACAGCGGCATTTGCTCCTAAGCTAATGCCCAGGATAGCTCTAACACTGGTCTGAAGTTCCCAAACACTGAAGGAAGGACCAAATCCTCAGCTGGTGTAAACAGGCATACTTCTATTGATCTCAAGGGTGATTTACATCTGATGATCTGTCCCCAGGGGCTGTGATTTTATACTGCAGGAAACTGAAAATAAAAAGCCTCATTGTGATTGTGACTAAACAACAATTATTGCACGTCTGGTTTCCCTCTCGCGGCTCTGATAATGACTGCAGAACTAAAAAAGGGGTTCTCAGGCAATACAGTATATGAAGGGCCTGTGAGTATGCAAAAATGGGGGGTGGGTTGCCAAAGTAAGGGCCTCAGGATTTTGGCCATAAGATTCCAAACGCAGATCTGATTGAACAGTTATCTCAAGGATGAACGTTTACATTCATCACCCTTTCTCTGACAAGAGAAACAAGATTTGTTTGGTGATATCTTTTATTGGACCAACTTTGTTGGTTGGGAGAGATTAGACAAGCCTTTTAAGCAGAAAATGCCCCTCCTTAGGTCTGGGAAAGAAGCAGAAACAGACTAAGCTAGATCTCTGTGGGCACGTCTACACAAGATGCTAACTGTGCAGTAGCCTAATAACAGTGCACAGTAGCGTGCCGGGCAAAAACCATGCTAATACACTACTGCACAGTAGTATTAGGCACAGTGTCACTAAAAACCCATGTGCCAGCGCTACTGCGCAATAGCACAAGTTACTGAGCATTGATTTAGTACTTGTCTAATGCGCAATAACTAAGGTGCATTAATGAATGTGTAGATGCACCCAGTTAGAACAATTGTTCCAGTATTATCAACCAAATCTTGCTTCCCACGTATTCTTTGAACCATCACTGCTAGAACAACATGCCCCCCTACAGCTCCCCTCTGCCATGGGTAAGGTGCAGTCTGGAGCGAGAAGAACTGTATGAATGAGCGAACATGAAACATTCTTGACACCTTGCTGTCCTAGAAAACTATGGCTGACGAAGCCTACCACATGTCCCCTCAGCATAGCTCCCTGAACTAGACAGTACCTAGTCTGTGAATCAAAACCAGTACTTTTTTTTCCAGTCCTCTCTTAAAAAAAAAAAAAAATCTAAAGAAACACACACATTCACTGAAAAATTGCAGTTTCTCCACAAGCTGCAATTTCAAATTTATAAAAAGCTGTTTACTTAATGACAGAGGCCAAAAAAATAAATGCAGTTTGGAGATTCAGAACGCTTGTTTCCAAAGCCGCGCAGGCAACGTTCTCAAACTGGCTGATATCTGGCTACAGTAGTTACATAGGATTTCAAGGTTTACAAAACATTGCTCTAAATACCTGATGAAATTTTGGCAAGGCTGCTTTTGTCTCCTGATCGCTGATAGGAGGACAACATTGATTTATTTTTATGCCTAAGTACAGTATAAACCAAGTATTAAACCTGGGAGATTTTACTGCTCTCTGTTGTAAATTCACATCCCAAAACCCTGACACAAAACAACACTCCCTCAGTTGTTTTCTATTTGCTCAATGTCTAATTCGCCGTCTAGCTGAAAGACATTCTCCCCTCCTGTCCCGCTGCTCCTCCAAGAAGCCCGTTCCTCTTCTTTCCTACTGCTCTCCTCTTCCGTGGCGCAATAGTCTGACTCCTCACAAGAGAGGTCTTCTTTGCTAACTCTACATTCTTCTGCATTCAAGTGAGGCTCTGGCACAGGCGTGCAGGCTGGTGTCCTGCCCGGCATGACATCCGAGGAGGAAGGAGATGTTGTCCATGACTTGGTGCTATTGACACTAGGGCAGAACTGGGTCTGCAGAGCGCAATCATCCACCGGGGTGCTAAGGCAGCTAAGGCTGTTAAAAGTTTGACGATTCTGCAAGGGGAAAAAAAAAAAGAAGTCAAATGAAATCTAGCATTTGGTTACCACAAAAAAGGAGGCAGAGAACCAGCAGACGCTTGGGAGGCAAAATGTTCTATTTCATCTAGGAGAGCTCCCTGCAAAAGCAAAACGGTCTCTTCCTGTACGCCTTCTAGCTGTTTTGCCAACAATTGCTTCATGGTAGAGGTGTTTTTTAATGAGCACATGAAGGGGAAACATACCAGGTATTAAAAGGTTCTTTAATCAAGCAGAGAGAGGCATGACAGAAACCAGTGGTTGCAAGTCAAAACCAGATAAATTCAGCTTAGAAATAAGCAGACAAGGTTCTTTGGGTGAATCTGATATCTTTTATTAGACCAACTTAAATAGTTGGCCTACAGTTTTAATAATGAGGGAGATTAACTGTTGGAACAAACAACCAAGGGAAGTAGTGGATGTTCATCTCTCGTTGTCTTCAAATCAAGAAGATACGTTTTTAGTCCAGCAAAGCATGAATCAAAGACACGGGGCTGAAGACAGGTGTAACTGGATGGGATTCTATGACCCGGGTTTACAGGCAGTCAAACTGCCTGATCCAATGGTCTCTTCTGGCATTCAGATCTGAGGAAATGAATCCCAGCAGAACACAGATGGACTAATTGAAATGTCCTTCCCCAAAGTCTTCAGAAGACACTGGGAAGAATATTGCTTGAGTCTGTCAAATGGCAGTGATTACATTAGGAAAGCCCTTTGTGAAGGGCAAATCCTGCCAACAAACTGATCTAACCATGCCCCTATTCCCCTCAAGCCCTTAGAGATGGAAGAAGTTGACAATCCACATTCGTTGCTTGCATTCTCATTAGCTCCGGCATTTCTTCCATTTTCTCTAATGCTTGTTGGATTCAAATGTACTCAGTCAGTTTTGAACACACAACATGTCACCCCACTGCGTTAGGGACCTTGAGATCAGAAAACTCAGCACAGGTCTGTCCTCCTGCAATTAAATTAACTACTCCCTGCTATTTGTTGGGATGTTTTACATGAGCTTTCAGCACTTTAAGCACATACTGAAGTGCTTCCCTGAATTGGGGGCTATCTTGTACTGTGGTAACTCAGTGTCATACCTATTTATTAAAGAGAGCACAAGAACACGCCTATCTCTCTCCTCTCTGTATGAAGCAAGCTATATAGGTGATTATCTTTTCTTGTAACTCTTTATTTAGCTCATATGCTGTCGATTCAAAATGGTTTCAAAACACTGACAATGATAAGATGTTAGTTGGCATTTAGAATTACTCACATAACAATATATACAACATAAGACATTATTATCCCTTGAGATGCTGCAGGCTGCAAACCTAAATAGTGACACTTTAAAAAAAATAAACAAAATTCTAATTATTTATCTTAATTACAATAAATTGCCTGTCTGATGAAGCTCATTGTCAAGCAAGGCATGTGTATCACAAGGAAAACTCAGGCAACTGTGCAATGGAACAGGAAATCTCTGATCTGAATTCTTCAGTGAGCTGTGAAAAGAGGCAAGGACAAAATGCCCCTGTGCCCACTAACCGAAAAGCAGACTATTAATTATTAGTTTCCAATGATTCCATCCGTGTCACATGGATCTAAAAATCCACATCAACCAAAACGCCAGTTATAGCCATGCACGCACAAATGGCTTATGCACGCTGTTTGCAAAATCACCAAAATAAAAGCCAACCATGTGATCCTATAATATAAGCATGAACACATTTCCCAGAAATCTGGTTCTGTCCCATCCCCACTAATCTATTTTGGGGGGTATTTATATAACTCCATCACTGCGGTATCTCTGTTTTTTTAGCAGAGCTACCGCAAGATACGGGTGGATAACATGTTTAGTTCATGGTGATGTCTTGTACGTGGAACCATAACTATATTACTTCAGGGCTACAATTTATAATTAGCTTGCAAATGGGACAATGTTTGCCCAGCAGCAAGAAGGTGATGTCACAGTATGGTGCACAAATGTATTTTGGGATGCTGGCATTAAGCATTCCCTATTATATTAGGAGACTGACAGAAACCACATTGCTCATCAGATGATAATGCTCAACAAGGTCTTCACACAAAACTATCCAGCCACATTTGAGATGTTTTTCCAGGTGTACAGATGGAATTCTCTAGTAATGGCAGCACATATACCCCGAGAGGCTGCAAATCATAGTGCAGAAGCAAAAGAGCTCAGTACAGAGCTGGTCTGGTCAGTGCTCGGCTGCAGTGAACTGGACTTAATTTAGGAAATGGGACGGAGAGCAAATGACCTCAGGAAATACAATGATTCAGCACATCTCCCTGACAGCCTCTCCAGGGCAGGGTATCCATGGTAAAGCTGTCTCCTTCCACAAACGGTAGGAATATAATACCTGGGCTGTTTCCAGTCTATGAAAGGAAGCAAACCTCTGGAGAGAAATCAAGCTCATTATAAACCCTGTCATAAATAATCTTTCCAGAAGAGGGCATCGAAGAACATGCAACTCTTAGGTGACTACATCTACTTTTTGATTAAGTACATTCCCTTAGGGGAATAGAGGGTACATATTTATACACAGCTTGAGCACTGCTAGATACAGCCATTTGAAAGGCTGAGGGGAAGCAATTTGCTGATCCCTGGTGAGGACCAACTATGCCTGCTCTCATGTCCAGGCATATTTTTGTCTCAGCTTCATATCAGTACACGGAGGAGGTTTCCCTTCTGCCTTTTTTGGCCTTTAGAATATACTGGGAGAAACCTTCAACAGAGGGGAGACAACTGTCAGGCTTTGAGGACACAAGTCATCCTTCAAGGCTCTGTTGGTATCCTATTCCTCAGTTTGACACTTTCTTCAAATCAACTTTAGCCTTTCTCAGGCCAAAACAAGAAGGGCTCATTATAGCCAGCATGCATTTCATGGCATCTTAAATTGCCATTCATATCTGTCTTCAACCAAGTCATCCTGTCTCCATGTCTACAAAAGATAGACTCATACTCCACAAGCTTCCTGTCTCAGCAAGCAGCAGATTTTCATGTGAAACCTGGATTATTTTTTCTTTCCCCTCCTTCCTTTTTTCCCCCAGAGTCTGAGACTGGTCCATGGACAAAGATCTTCCCAGAACATCACGAGGAGTATTCAGAAGACTATAAATCTGTCTAAGGAAACTCCAGTGGCAAAACCTATGTTTTTAGGAAGATCTACAGTAGGACTCTGCTCTTACTGCAACAACCAAGGTATTTTTAAAAACCTACAGTCACCTTTACTCTGCTGACTCAAAACTTTGTGGCTACTTATCTCAGTTACTCTATAAACAAAGGTCTACCACAGCCAACACAAATGTTTAGTGTCCCCTTTTGAGAGAAAATTAGGTAAAACTACTGGTCAAAGGCTACACATGCCCTCTACTTGTGTAAGTTATTCTCTCCTGTGATTTGTTCTCTTCCCTTTCCATATGGCCATCTCTTGCTTTTGCACCACAGAAATACATGACTCCAGAAGGGAGCAAGCTTTGATGAAAGCCAGATGTGTACATTTTTTTAAAGCAAAACCACATGTTTGGGGGGGATCCCCACCCCCCTCCTCTCCTAGCCAGCTGACCTGCTACTTACATACCAATGTTCAATTTTGGGTGTTCAGGACATGAATCTATCCATGTGCTCAGTGAAGAAAACATCTGCGGTGAGTGAAGAAACTCATCTGATAAACATTTCAGAAAAGACTGGAAACTGAAGGAGACAAGTATGTTGCAACTAGCCAGTCAACTGATTAGATGAGCCCATTTCCACAAATACTCACTTTTTTAATGTGGGACTTGAGTGTGTCAAAAGCTTGAAGCATATCTGCAGGACACTGAGGTAGCAGGTCATGGGTTCCTGAGTTTCAGGGTGAGAACATTTGATTTTGAAAAAAACAAACATTGTGGGCTTCACTGGTATATCTGTATAATAGCCAGTGGGTGCATCTATGTGTGTACTTAACCGTGCAGTACACTAATTTGGCTGTAGTGTAAAGCGTCACAGTCTACATGTGAGATGCTATTAGACCACAACAAACTAATTTTTGCCAGCCTGCAGTTGCTCTGTCCCAGCTCAGACTGCTGCAGTCCTGGGTGCAGTGTCTGCATGTACATCCCAGACAGCAGCAGTTTGAGCATCCACACGTGCCATTAAGGTGCCGTGATAAGCTGTGGCTCAAACTGCTGTGGAAAAAAAGGCACACACTTTCCAACTACTTTGGAAAAAAGGCACATGTCACAGGCAAAAAAAAGGTATGTTTTTAACAACAGAAACCCAAGGCACTTGCATTACACCTATACGCATCAAGCCAGATTCTATCCCATCCATTTGGCCTGTAAGGGGACTTAGGCACCTGGTTGTGATTCTATTCCACCCTGTTCAAGTCCCTGGAAATCCAGAACAGATCTACTTTTGCAACACATCATCATCTGACCTTTAAGACTGAGTCACAAAAAAGCAGCAAGGAGGAGGGGAACCCACTCACCTTTTGCAATAACTGTTTTCCAAGGACTCAAGCAGGGCGGAATAGAATCACATTTAGGTGCCTAAGTCCACTTACACCTAATAAGTGGAATGGAATATGAACCTTTGATCATACCCTGAAAGCTTTAATTTATATCCTTGAGCGCTGTGTTAAATGAAGCATCCTAGTAAAAACAAGTTATTGAAGGGGATCTCACAGATGTTGAGTTTTAAAAAGAAGGCATGCCTTAGCCTTCCACAGAACAAGGAGTCCCTGCAGACTCCAACTCCAGAGGCAGCTGAGGCAGGTTTTGATCTCATTGACACTGCTATAAATCTACTGTGCTAAATGGAGTAGCACCTGCTTGGATCAGGTCTGAACTTGCCTCTGGGCTTGTGCCAACCAAGAAAATGAAATATGAAATGTTTGGTGTATGGGCACAGACATTCAGCAAGGGAGGTCTTTTTGGGGCAGCAGGAAACAATGGACTGCTCTGCCAGCACCTTTCTCACTCTTGCT